AAATATAGAAATAATTATATATAATAAATATATATATATATATATATATATATATATATATATATATATATATATATATATATATATATATATATATATATATATATCTAATAAGCGGAGTCCATTATATGGCGATTTATGTGCATTTAATTAAGGCTAAATGAGAAATGAAAGTGGCCTGTATGTTGCAATTGGCTATCACAATGTCATGATTTTACATATCTTCTGTCAGTGTTTTTAAATTAGTCGCGTGTGTAAAGGGGGTTTTTCTTCGTAATATGATTTAACTAGCGATTTCGATCAGTATCGAATAGCAAACCTTTTATGGCATTTTTGAGTGAGGAGTGCTGTAGCTCACGTTTGCCTCATGTTATCTGACAACATTTTGCAACGTCCGGGATGCAAGGGTATTTTGCAATATATGGGGAAATTTCTAGGGGAAACCCCTTTCCGCACAGTCTATGGACAGTCCAAAGAGAAAAGAATCAATTGTCCGAATAAACGTATTTAATCTAACAACCTCTTCTCAAATGAGTTAAGAGTGAATTTCCAAAGTTTGCCGACGACCTTTGGAAATATAAATATTGTTACAGGGGATTGTCCATGATCTTCCCAGCCACCGAAACATGTATCTCCACTCAATATTTTAAATTCCTCATATATCTCAATATTGGTAGAAACAAGCGACGTTTCACATCAAAGAATCGTTTCACACAGGTGATCTGAAGTTATACGAAAACATACTACGGCAATGCGCCCCGATTTTCAACGTATGAGCAAAAGCGAGATGACTTCTAATAAGTCACTCTTCTTCTTTTAGAAAGACGAATATTTATAGGAATGGCAGTAGATATTAATTACGAAGATACACTTTACAACAAATCATGCAAAATCTGATTTTTATCACTCCAACCTACCCGAGGTGTCAATGGCGTCCTCTTTCTCTTTTGTCTTGAAATAATCAGCTCAGAATATTTTCGGTTAGTCACGGGACAGGTCAAGGGCAATGAGATAACGCTGGGTTCATAAAATTATGAGAATAACTGCACTAGTTTCCCAACCTTTGGATAATGCAGAAAATGTTGAATTGTGCTTTAATTTATGCGTAATTTTTTATTGGGGAATAAATATATTGTTACGAGTTCTTATTTATTACATTCAAAATCCCGCTCTATGTCACATGATACCAGGTGTCGTGCGAAACAAAATACTAAGATCATAGGAGTTTGAGATCGAAGGCTGGTGTGTTATCGTCTTCTTCTGATAACATATTTTTATATTCACTAGAAAGATTACATGTAGTTCATAGTGTTTTACAGTCGTAAGGTCCCAGTATATTCGTGTTATTATCGGTTATTCAATATAACATTATGTCTGATTTGCTCAGTGGGCCTATTTTCTTTCATATCATCTCAGGTTTTCTTTAAAGCAGTCCGTTTACGCAGGCTCTAATTCTTAAAACCTTAAAAATCTCATTTTCTTTTCAGGCAATCCAGAGAAGCCATCATGCGCGATAAAATTCGTTCTTTCTTCAGTTGTGGAAAAATCTCAGAGAACGGAATTGTATTCTCCGTTTTATACTCCCGTTCATTTGTCCTCTTTCCTCTGTTAATTGAAAACTTTCCCTGGCGTTTTGGTGGATCTGAAACGCAATTGGGAGCTGTGACTCATTCAGCAACATCTACTTTATGAAATAACATATGCATGCGTTATCATGTTAGACTGAACTGTGTCAAAATTGATATTGAAAAATTTAAAAATCTAATGACGGCAACAATGACTTAATGCGATTTTTAAAGAGATTTTGCCAGCTGAATTCAATGGTATTTATGTGTACAATGAATCGGATAACTCGTGTGTTTAACTTTTAACTAAATGACTAACTAATTAACTAATTAAAAAATAAATAAATAGAAAGAAAAGCACCTGCAAATTTAACCGGATACCTGTCACCGAACATCACCTCTCTGAAGGTTGCGACATGTTGGCGAGGTATCATTACTCTGTCAGCACTGAATAATGAGTTGTCATCAAGGTCTAATTCTGGTTCACCGCGAGACCAGTCTTCAACCACCAAGCCATGACTTGCCTCCATATGAAAGCAATAATATGATAATTGACATGTTGTTTGTGTACATTATTTTTTTCAAAGTGGGCAAGGTTTCAATTTCTTTCTTTCTTTCTTCCTATTTCATTTTATTTTTATTTATTTATTTATTTATTTATTTATTTATTTATTTATTTATTATTATTATTTTTGAAGAGGTGGGTGAATAGGGAATAGGAGAAGAAGAGATGGTGGGGGGGGGGGGAGAGGGGGGTCAATTCTGCGGCTTCCTCTAACCAATTGCAAGTAAATTAATTTCAGTTAAGGTGGAGAAAGGAAGAAAAAAACAGCTCAATACTAAAGGTAAATATCGAGGAAATATAATTGAAATTTGAGTTTGACTTCTTCCTCAAATCTCTTTCTTTGCTTTGGCACACATTTATGTGCACTGTTTAATAAATGGTTGCATACTTTAAAATGGCGGGTCGGTCGGTGCTCCTCCAATGATTTAAAGAATCTAAGGGTGCTTTGTTCACAAATTAAAGCGCTGATAATGGTGCCTTGAATAAAGCAAACATATTAAACAGAGGTACAAACTCCGAGTGTATTGAAACGTTCTAATCGAATAAACAGTATTCAAACGGACCTAAAAGAATAACTAAAAAACCTTTCACTTACTTAGAAAGAAATCATAAAAATTAAGAAATTCACCTGACTTTGACTTCCGTAGAAACTGTCGAGATTTTCTTCACTGACCAATACCGCGTAACCTGCAGCAGAGGAGGCCACGTTCAATAAAAATAATATAGGAAACATAATTTCGCGCATTGCTCCAACAGTCATTCTCTTTCAATGCCTGCGCGATTTATTGCACCCTGCCAAGTGAAATGTGCTTCCTTCTGAGAGTCGTCTGGAAGAAACCAAAAACGCCCATCGCTAATCATACTATTTATCAAAATGGCTCTATCACATCACCACTGTAGAGACAATTTAACACGCTGATGCGGTGCAAAAGGCCCGTTTTTATTTATATATTTTCATTTTTTATAAGTATTTGAAAGCATTCAGGATTCTGTACAGACCAGGAGATGACTCTCCATCTAGACCTCTTACAATTTTTGAAGCCGCTTGCACTGAAACTGTTACCGACAAACATGTATATTCAGTAAATCTATCGTTAAGGTTGAGCGACGAAAATATTTTTCATTTTGAAGCACTAGTGGGTAAAAAGGACACTGGCAATGTACAATTGTGTGGTTAAAAACACGACAAGGAGAGGCGACAATAGAACTGTTATTGTGCTTTTCTAACATCATTTGAAAACTGTTTCACCTTGTTATGATTCCCAATAATACAGTACGTGTGACGCATTTTGATCAGGTATTGTTCTTAGACTTCGAATACAGATCTCGGCGCTTAGGTTTGCCTTATTTGCCTCCAAAACAAAAGCGATTTTTTATCATTTACCAGGACCACAGGACATTTTTCACTCCATGTTATTATTCACAGATATTTCTCTGACTATTCACTAAATGTGCAAATTGTTGTCTATGGAAAAATTTGTAACATTCAAAAGCTAAAAAAATTATTATTATAAACCAGCTTTCGAATTGTAACGTTTATTAAACTATTTCACTTTTAACAATTGTCTGTCTTTATCCATTATTACGAGAGTAACCTAGAAACTACACACTTATTGATTGACTTACATTTGCAGGTAAAATTGAAAATTTAATTGCTACTTAAAGGTCTGACACCATAGCGAGTCATAAAACATCAATTTGGAAAGGGCCCAGTTAAACCCGCTTATAGAGGGGAGGATTTCACTAGAAATTTAAAACAAAATCGGGGAGGACTTACATATTGCGTTTGTCAGGGAAGCAGGCATCAATTTACCATAATTTCGATCAAAACGTTTCATTTTCAGCCAAATCAATGCCTTTTATTAGACCACATCATTCGCACCTAATTATATGAGACGCATGTGAATATTCGTGATGTCAAGCATATGGGGATTTTGTCTTCAGTTCGCGTGTACCGACCAGTTGGTTGCAAGCCAAGCTATGGGTCACCTGATGTATAGAGACTATAATAGACTGTCCACAGACTACTCTTGAGTAGGAAACCAGTGACAGAAAAATAAAGAAACAAATTGCAAATATAGAGAATCTTTTATTTGAGATATTAAGTCACCAGACAGTTAGTACATAAATACAGCACCGCAATCTTGATATGAGACCAATCCGTAGAACATAACCTCTTAATACAATAACCTTTTAATACAAGGTTCAACACGTTCTTTGAGCTATTTTAAACAGACATATTTTGGACTGGATTGAAGTGTTATTAAAACTAATGAGTTCGAGTAGTTATTCTCGACAGCAATTTTCAAATAAAATCTTCATTAGAAAAATACCTAATTCTTCAAATATAAAATACTTATCAAATGGCAAGCTTTTAAGGAACATCACAAGTTAACAAAAAGGAAGAACTCGAGAGGTATGAGTTAATGCTAAATGCTATCTTTGAAAAACAGCACACATAATTTTGGGTACAGTTTTGAGTTTTCAGACTGACTATTAAACCAAAACACGCTATATCTCTGTAGATACAAAATAATAAGTCTAGAGCAAAGTAACATGATGTCTATGGACCTGGTTAAGTGTAATGATAGCATTATAATATCTTATATTACCTGAAAATTAGAAATGACAACAGTTTAATCACAATTCTCTGATCTCGGAAGGAAATTACTTTGACAATTTGCTCCAAGAGATGTTAGATTAAATAAACAGATATGACATGAAATGAGGAGGTTTTATATGCAAATGTGTTTTAAAAATACATTATCACATTGACACACACACGCAGATAATATACAGCTGTTTTTAATATCACAACATATATTTCATAATTATCGGTTCAGAAAACACCTCTACCTGTTATATACTGATTCACTTTGATTTTCTTTCAAATTTAAATTTTAACAATTTTTAATTTTGTATACAGCCCACTAAAATTTCTGGAGTTTCTAGAGTAAATGAAATCCTAGTTTTAATAAAAAATCAACATGGCCTGGTTGAGAGTTAATGTTTTTTATGGCCGTCTTGACAGCATCTCATTGATTCCTTGACTTAAACAATCAATACGGTCTAAACATTTCTGAAATAAAAATAATAAAATGAAATAAATAAATATGTTTTTAAATAGAACAAATATATATCATCAATAAAAATGTGACATTCAGTTGATCAATATGTAGGGTAAATTTCACACACACTCATACATAATCATCTGTTAATAATCACTTATTTAAGGTCTTCTGTCCTAAATTATTAAGATGTTCATCATCACTTATTTAAGGTCTTCTGTCCTAATGATTCAGGTTAAAGACACACTTTTTTTTTCTTCTCTGTGTTTAAGACTGGTTTCTGTCAGGCAGAAAAAATAACTTTTAGCACCATCCACTCAGCAGACCCACCTGTACTTTGGTAACCAAGGTTTTCCTCCGCAATCTGCCCTCATTGTGAGACTCAGGTATGCTAATGGAGTCTAACCTCTCCAGAATCCTCATATAGTCTTCTGTGCACATGCCTAGCCTCTTGCTCAGCTTGGCCAGTGCTTCTCCCTTTAGGTCCTTGGGGAAGTAATTCTAAAAGAAAATTATTAGAAGACCCTATTATAATGAGATAATACAGGGCTTGACACTAACTTTTTTCTCCACTGTCTTTTTTGGGCCAGTGAAGTCTGGTAAATATAACAAGGGTTACTTGGTGCTTTAAGTTTTACTTGCCCTTTTAGACAGTTACTCATGTGATTCACTGGCCTGAGATGGGTTTTCATTGCCCCGGGCCAGAGGTCCACCTTTATGTCCAGCCCCATAAGTTTCACTGGATTTGTACACTGTTATAACTATAATTTTGAAACAAATATTTCAGGAAAATTATATCTATACTTATTTCCATCAATTTTAAATTTCACCAAGATGTGACCACAAAACACAGAGGAGAGGAGATTGTTGACACATTTCCACATGCACCAGGCACTTAAGATGATAAAGGATATTCACAGTGAACCTGTTGTAGCCATTCACCTGCTGTTCCATAGTGTGTTATTATTTGTATATTCCAGGCCCTTAGCCAGCAATTTTAAAGGGGGGGGGGATTATTCTGAACAAGTGGACTTTTTACCGTGATTCTTTTGAATTTGTGTACCTAGATTAAATTGATCCAGAGCCGACCTTTACCCAGTAATAAAGAGTGGTTTATTTCAACCTCCCTCCACACCCCCCTCTCCCCATGCAAGTACCTGTATTCTGTAAAACTTAAAAAGGGCATATTACAACAGGGGCCTGATCTAGAGATATTTTCTGGGAGTCTTCCGAATTATCTATGACGATCTATCCTCCACTGATCACTGCCTTCTGACAGAAAAAAACTAAATGCTTGTCCATGTAAAGTTTTCAAAAATCTAGTCTTCTGTACAACTACTGTGGTTTCCCTTACCCTGTGAATACCATCCAACTCCAGTGTTATCTCACTCTGCTTCTTCTCTGTCTTTTCCTGTGCTTTTTCCACTGTTGACAGTTGGTTCAAAATTGCATCCTCAAATGGACTCGGCTTAACAAAACAAGGAAGAAAATCTGTCAGTAAGATTTACAAGACCCATTTGCAGTTATATAAAATTTATGTGTCAGACTGTCAGCTATATAAGAAAAAATAAATGTGGTTTAAAGAGTTGGCAAATGTCACTGTGTACACTCTGAAAGTAAATAAACATATTATTATTGTTATTATTATTAATTTTCTATTTAAGGGCACATTCAGATTCAAATATCGTACCAGCTGGGCTGATCCAACTTGGTGGGAATTCTTGCTACGGGTGCGTGTAATCAAATTATCAGCTTTATTGCCTAACATTCCTAATTGAGCAGCTGAGGGGTAATTAAGCTGATTGACATATAAGTAAATTATCCCTAAGCTGCTCGAGGAGGTGTGTCAGAAAGTTAAGCTGTTAAAATAAATTGCACTTTAGCAAGAATCCCCTGCATATAAAAAGAAAGAGATACACATGAATTAAGGCAGTGTCATGTTCATGCATGAAGTTGACACCACCTGAGTATATTGTGAAAAAAATTTTCATGATAAAAAACTAAATTTCAACTGTTTTAACACTGAAGTGCACTTGTTTCTAAACAACAAGTCAAAGATCAATGGAATGTAAATGACACAAAAACTCATGTTGCTTACCTTTTTGCCAATAAGCATTATTTTTGAATCTTGCTTCATTCCAAGTTTACTCAAATGTTCTGATGGATCTTTAAGGGATTTTCCTGAAATATAGGCAACAGAATTGAAATGTAAATGGTTTCTTTATAATGCTGTTTCTAGGTCCATTAAAAAAATTAAAAAAAAAAATAAATAAATAAAAAAACAAGCTTCAGATGTCATCATATTTACAGGAAAAAGCATAAGATTATTCATGGTTCCAAAAATTTTTGTTTACTGACATTTAAATAGTTGTTTTACTGCAATTTTTTTCTTCTTTGTGAACCAAATGAGTGGCTGCTATCCCTAAAATGTCATTAAATTAATTTTCTTCCTTTGAAATGAAATCTCCATCTTAACCATCTGTTAGCACCATTATTAAATAAAAACATTTCCAGGTGTAGCCTACCTTTGAATATAAGTCTCTGTCCTGGGATGGGCACTCCTGTGGCTATGAACACCTCTTTGGCCAGGTGTCTCACTGTCAGGACATCCCCAGCTTCTTCAGTGGGCAAAGCCAACAACAGGTTGTGGTGACTTTGGCCTAAATAAAAAGTATTATCTTTTACATTTCTATTTATTTATTTATTTATTTATTTATTTATTTATTTATTTATTTATTTATTTATTGTACTCAAACTGTCTGTTATACCGGTAGAGTATCTTAGTCTACCAAATTTGTCTACCATCTTGAATAAATTGGTTTTGTATTTTATAAAATTCGTTCCAAATATTAACCAACTGGATTGCTATTTATTGACAAGAGTGGTATTCTAAAATCAGTTTATGAAGAATTTTGATTCATTAACTAACCACGATCACAGTCAAGTGTGTTCTGTCTTTCTACATCCTTCACGTACAGTACAAATGCACATGGACCAGTGCTGTTTACATTATATATTGTATAATTTACATGAATCTCACATCTCACATCACTTGGCACAATTTTTCTTGGCAAAACCATATTCTGGAAATTCCGGATAGGGCAACTGTCTCGCCTACTTCAGACTGTCTGACAGCCACAATTACAGTTTTTTAAACTGTGTCCAATCCTCAAATTTGGGCCCGTCTCCACGGTATAACAAGATAGGCAAGAAAACATCCTGGAGCCGACACCAGTTTACATTATTATCACGTCTTCTTCTCAACATCATGATATTATTTATGTCGCCTACAGGAAACTCCTATTAACAAAGGCACAATTATAAGCAATTTGGATGTTAAAAACAATATTTACCATGAACAAGTTTAAGTCGTAACTCGTTCACTCCGTCCGCTGCCATTTCTTATCTCAAAATCCTCAATCACTAATGACGACGGAGGGTACTAACATTGACGTAAAAGAAACATAAGCACCCTTTGCACTTTACATGACACAGTAACATATAATTGTTCAAAATTAGCTATTTTGAGTAACATTAATGGTATGAGTGCTCATATTTTTGCTGAAAAAATCCTAATTTTATAGTTTTATGGGGATGATGAGGATGATGTTGTTATAGTATCCATTTACGATAGTTTGAAGATGGCGGATGTTTTAAAAGACTGCATTTCGAATTTGAAGACATTAATCCGTAATTCACACTCTCTTGGAGAACAATTAGAGTCCATCAATGTGTTAGTAAGTATTTCCATGTTCATATTTAGAGGTGGGTTGTGTTTCTATTAAGCACTACAATTGCTTGTTCTCTGATGCTTAGTATGTAATAATTTTTCCACGTTGTCGTCTCTCTTCGGTCTCTATCTATTTTCACTTTCTTCAGCTTACGGTCTTACATGCTACGCAGGTAAGTGTTCCTTTCACCCTTTGTCAGAAACTCTCGAGAAAAGCTGTGAATTCACTTATAAATGGTAGTATTTCTTTTATGCTTGGAATAAAAAGATCGAAAATCCAAATTGCTATGTGATGGAGGGCACAGAGTTATCGAGTAAGGGATATAAAATCTGGTACTCATCTTTATGTCAGTCTCAGGATGTGGATATTTGTAGCCTCAAGAGTTTGAAACAAAAAGTGGAATGAGTTCTTACCTGGATAGTTTTTAAAGCCTGAGGTGACATTTTTGTGTACTTCTCTCTCATTTTTAGAGGGATTTGTCGATCTCTATGCTAGGTTGTCTTTGATTTCAGGGCTCTTGTCACTGTATAGAGGAGAGATGGAATACATTTCATTCTGCGATGCTTCTTCCCTAATTTCCCTTCTCTGTTTTGAGAAAATATGTTCACTATCAAGGCAACATTGGAAATAGATGTCCTCTCTTTAATGAGTTCACTATCCTTGATGATTTGTTTATGTTTGATGTCTTTCATATTTTTCTATTCAATAAACACACTTACTCACTCATATACTAATAGCAATTTCACCATGTTAACGATATCCATCAAACTCCCATATAATAAATCCAGCAACCAGGTAATCAGTAGCTTATTTTTAATTAGGCTCAGCCTTGAGTTTTTTTTTTTTTTTGTAACTTGAAATGACCTTTTTTAATTGGTAAATTACAATAGTTTAATTTGAATTGTATGCATTTATATATGTGTATGGTCCCACTTATTTCACCCCAGGTATTGGCTATTAACAGATATGCAGCAGATCCCCTGTCTTCTATGATAACAAATGTGTGTGGTACTGATATTAGCAGTCTATACGATGTCACAATAACAGATGGAGCACTGAAGATGAAATGTGTATTCTCACCAAATCTCAATGAAAAGATTCAGAGATATGAGGTAAGAGATGTTCTCAAGAAAATAAAATACTAGTACTGAGACATATAATCATTTATCGTGTAAAAAAGGTACATGTAAATAGAGGTGAACATATCCCTGTTTCAAATAACAAGAGAGACTGACGCACACAAAGGCCATTCCATTGGGTTCTTTTATGTTATAATTGAATTCTCTAACTCTGAAATTATTTCTGATAATAATGATTAGATTAAAGCAATTTTGATATTATTTAAAATGTACTTACGAATCAGAACTGGTAATGGCCATCTTTTTTAGAATTACATTTTTTCTGTGTGCAATACAACAAGCATGCATGCATACACACAACATGTTAGTTATGTACTGATTTTAAATATGAATGTCTTGTCTAATTCACTTCCAGATCTGTGTTGGGAGTCTTGTGACCCTGGAAGAGTGTGAGGTGAAGGTCAGTGAGACTGACCTTGACCTGGACAGTGTCGTGGTCATAAATAGTGTGACAGTGATACCATGTGACCTGCTGTGGCACAGGGTAATACCAGGTAATGGGGTGTAGTTGATGATCTATTTGATAAAGATATTTCATGGTCTCTAGGTAAAATAAAAAGCGGTTATCTGGACTTGGAGACTAAATAACAAGCCTTACACCATCCCAATTCACCATCTGTGGATTTTGATCTTTTAATTTGTTTTGAGACCACTTAATTTTGCTGAACATTTTTTGTCACACAGTTTACTAGTAATTAAAACCTAATAGTAAGCTACAGTGGCCTTGGTTAAGATTAGAATATACACTTTTGAAAGGATTTTTGCCCATTTTGTTTCCAGAGAGACTTGAGTGGCACTCTTTTGCCACAGATAAAGAGAAGGCAGAAGTACCATTGCTGGCCAATAGAGGGAGCTACCTGTCTACGTGGAATGTCAGTGATCCCAGTGGCAGGTTATGGCAGGGAAATGGTATGTTCACAAGGGCTTTGACTCCAGCAGCACTGGATGCCTCTGGTGAAAACCATAATAATAATAATAATAATAATAATAATAATAATAGTAATATGTTGTGCACATTGCAGTATGGAGAGGACAAACTTGACATCACGTTGTATTGTGTTGTATAGTATTATATAACGTAACATTTTGTTGTGTTGTGTTGCATTGTATCACATAGTGTTTTGTTGTATTGTATTGTATAGAGTCATACCACATTACTTGTATGTTATATGAAGACACAAGATAAATTATAATTTACTCAAACTCTATTCTCCGTGTATTTCACTTGCAGCGTGTCCCAGCTTCTATCCCAGTGGTCACTGCAACGTTTTAACACTGAAAGAGCTGTCACAGCAGTGGAAATCACTGAAGCGCCCTCTATCTGCTGTCATAGTTAGGGTGCTCTGTAAATCGAGGCTGCAGTCGTATCCTAGGCCAGGGAAGACAGACAAGTGGCCTTATCAGGTTTGTTTATCTTAATGCAGGTAATGCTGCTTTGTATTTTTTGTTATTATTTATTTACTTTTTGTTATATATTAGACCACAAGTCAAAGATCTTAGATGCATTAACAAATGGTATTTCAAAATACTTAAGGCTAGTGCTCCTGAAAAAAAAAGTAAAATTATTGAAAATTATTATTATTATTTTTAATTTCATTATTATTATTATAAAAAGAAGTATTCACCTCTTTGAAATTTTACTTAGATTATAACATAGAAAAGCAACCAACATTTCTGACAAAGTGTACATCACTTTTGGGCTTTTTTGTCATAGATTGTTTTGTAAAGTCGGTATAAGATAAGGCAGTGGATTGTGAATTTGTTGTTGTTAACAGTTTTGTAGAGGATATTTGGTGGCATATTTTAGGCATATTTTGAGGTTGCAGACAGAAGTGGTGCCTGTACTGTAATTCTGTGGAATTCACTTTGTCCTGAGCTTTACAAAAGGTAAATCAGTTAAAAGTGGGCAGATATTCAGAGATCTGTTACAACTTTTATGAATAGATTTTTCCTACCAAATACTTGTTTAGAACTTCGTCTTTATAATGTTTTTAAATGTTTTAAAACTTAAATTGGTTTGCAAATTCAGCATAGTTGTGAGTTGAATTATTTGAATAAAGTAAAAATTGTCTTAAAAAAAAAGCACCTAACTGAAAACTGTTCATTGGTAACTGAGATTAGATTGAATTACTAACAGAGATGTGTTAAGATTTTAGAATACATCAACCTGAGCTCAGTTTATCTGCATTGTTTATTTTCAACCTGATGAATTAGCCATTAACTGTTTTAACTATTTTAAAAGTGAAGTTCTGTCTTTGTCAGCATCCAGGAGGGCTCTGTCCTGCGCCTCGGGAACTACAGAGTGAGGGAGAGGTTCCAGATGCACACACGCCCCTCGCTTAGGAACAACGATCTGGAGCAGTTTGATATCGAGATCAGTGTCAACAAGCACCACCCCATTGGTGAGGTACAGATGGTTCCTCTGGCTAGTGTGGACCAAAACTGGCACCTGCCTGAGTTAAAGTACAGATTTGCTAATAGGAGGCAGCTAGGGTGGGTGTTGACTGTTGGTGGGTAGATTTTTAAGATAATGACAGAATGCACACAAATAAAAAACATTTTTTAAAATGCTTATTGTGCTGCTTTTTGTAAATTAAGATTGGTTTTGGTATAGGTTATGTGTACTGAATGCAGAAATTTTTCTAGAAATGCCCTTGACCAATAATTTTTTAATGAACTGCCCCTTGCCCCTGAAAAGATGTTTTCATGTATGGCACTATATTATTCACACAAGAAATAAATTCAAATTAATGACAACATTGTTGGTCTCTATTAGACACAAGTGATATGATTATGAACATAAATTGTCTCAAACAATCACAGTGTATACCTGAGCTAAATATGGAAAATACACAGTCAACCAATTTCTTATACTGTACAATAATTTTCTTCATTACAGGAGCCTCCCAGAAGATAGCAATGTAGACATATGTGGTATTATCACTTACATATCAAGGTACTGCAGACTGAGAAGGAAAGGTAACTTTGTAAATATTTACCAGGACTGTAATATGAAAAATTGAGTTAGTATATGTTTTTGTAGTGAAAGTTAAATAGGTTATATGCTAGAACATTTTACTTTTTATTTATTTATTTATTTATTTATTTATTTATTTTAGCTTAATGGTGTTTTGGTCATAGTTTGTTGCCCTAATCAATAATAGAACTAGTTTTTAACTGCAGAAATCACACCACCTTTAAGTTGTCCAAATATTTAGGTTTTTTAGTCTTTTTACCTTACATTACATGTTATAAATATCATGGAAATGATCAATATTAATATTTCATCTACTGTGTTGTGATGTTTGAAAATGACTCTGAAAGTCATTTTTTATCATAAATAAATAAATAAATAAATAAATAAATAAATAAATAAACATTGACTTCAGGTACAGGGTGTGAAGGAGGGTTTTGGACGATGCGTTGGTTACATGTTCATGATGAAAGTAGCAGGCAGCCTGTGATAGTCCAGCTGTTTTCAACTTCTCAGGTAAAAGAAATAACCTTTAATTCAATACAGCCATGGAAAATTTTTGGTGAAAATGAAAATTTTGTTAAAAGTAATTTTCAGCACAAATTTTGGTTGGAATTTTTTTGGGTGTTTTGAGAAAATTATCTCTTAACTTCCAAAATTGATTTAACAATAAATCCTCACTAGATTGACACTTATGTCTATAAGGAGAGACTTGGTTTAAGGAAAATGAACATGTATAACTATAAAGTGTGTGTTGTTATGTTCCCAGCCTGAATCTCATGCCCGTTTGGCCCCTGGTCAGATGTTGGTGTGTACACAGATGAGGGTGATCCAAGGACAGCTCCACACATCTTATCAACAGAGGTTTATGTATGTGACCACCACTAATGAATCTCAGGTAAAGTATCATGTGGCTGCTCAGCTGTTGGGATGGAGAGAGAGAGAGAGAGAGAGAGAGAGAGAGAGGGAGAGAGAGGGAGAGGGAGAGGGAGAGACATTGACTTCAAGTGATCTTAAAGTTTAACCCCTAAATGTTTTTCATTTGTAGTACTGGACCCTCTCAGTCTTTAGATAACATAACTTAAATGTCTGCCATTCTTATTCTTAGTAATTATAATTGATAAATGATGACAACAAAACTGAGGTTTAGTGAAACATTAACCTAAATTGCCCAGTATATTGCAGTTTTAAAATTGTTACAGTAGAAGCATTTGATAAATATTAGAAATACAATATCCAGATATGATTTTCACCTAAGAATTGCCCTTAATCATCATCCTAGGTATATACCACTGGGGACCACCACAGAGGTCAGTATATGACCTGTCCACAGGTCAAGGCTGTCATCCAGTGGTGTCAGAGGTCACAGGTCAGGGACATGGTCTCCATGGCAACAGTTGGTGGTTACTATGACTACCCTCCACTACCATCTACTCTTTTGGAATATAAAGACTTGTTTAATGAGGAAAAACCATTGAGGGTGAGAGAAAAAGAAAAAAAGTATTATTGATATTAATGTAAATCGAACTTGTATGAGAGAGAACAGCTTCATTAGCTCTGTAATACTACATGTTCTTTTTTTTCTACGAAAAACTGTTAGGTAATATCTCCAGTATCTCTAATATTTCGGCAGCTGTCCATCTTCATTGGTCATTTTGTTGGACCATTTTATCCTTACCAGGTACACTCTGATGACAGCTGCAGAAATAAAGGAGGCCATACAATACAGTTTCTCAGATCTCTCAATATGAAGATTCACCAGTGTGTGAAGTTTCAACAAGTACAGAACTTTTTAAATATAGATTTAGGAAATATATGTATATGATACCTGTGTGATACAAATATTTCAGGTAACAACCAGTGATAATCTGGAGACAGAACTGAGAGATATTTACTACAGGGAACAGAAGAGAATCACATTTCAGGGACTGATAGTACAGGTGAAATATGTGCCCCCAGACCACACCCGACCTGGAGAGGGGGAGGAGGAGGAGGGGGAGGGAACGATGGAGGAGAGTGAATTCACACCAGTGGCGAGCAGGCTCAGGTAATGGGAAATTTTGAGCAATATTTTGGAAAATAGATCCTGTAATGATAAATAGTGCTTTGGTACCCTGTGCGAAATCTCATTGCTGTGTGCAATATAATCTTTAACCTCATAAAACCTTAGAAGAATGAGAATGAGAAGCTTAATTGTAGATAAGTGCACCAGTGGTGCAGTGGTTAAGTTCAATTGTGAATAACAGTTGCTGTCGGCAGCTTTATTACTACCCAGTAGCAATCAATACTGACATTGATGGTACTCATTATATTTATCAACAATTTTGAGGACATGAGTACAATTTTGTATGTAAGATTTTTTGTACGTAGATAATATTAAAACTGTGGAATTTTTTTTAAATGAGAAAGATCGTGTTTGCCATGAGTAGAAAATTTCTATCACTTTCCCAAAATCTGTTTAAAGGTCAAAGAGAAAACTCAGCCCTGCTGCGGCAACCATTTCTCCATCAAAAGCAACAAAGACATTACCTCAGCAAGCTTCAAAAAATTCTCTGCCCAAGACTACAGGGAGGACAATGAAGAAGGCACAGTCGCCTTCAAAAGGGAAAAAGACATCACCAAAGAAATCAGGCTCTAGAGAAGGAAAGGACAAATCTGCAGCAGTGGACAGGGAGAATGAATTATTGTCTGAAGCAGCGGTGAGTGCTGGAAAATGTTTTGTTGATTAGTGAGTTCAGAAAACCCTTAGTTACATAGAGAGAGTTTCCAGGTCACAGTGAAACTCAGGTAGCTTGGTCGGCCATTTTGAATCTTCGTACAAGAAAGAACTTCCATCAGGATTTTCATTTACATTGCTAACAGTTATGTTAACACTTCCATTTATTTGCAGTTGTGCATTTATTAAAGAACTCACTTGGAACATTAGAGGACAGAAGGCTAAAAAACGTTTACTTAGCTTTGTTACTAAACATTTCTCGATTAAATGAAATGTATAACAAACATTTGTGGGAAAGAAGTCATCCTTTACATAGCAGTAAATGTTTTTTAATAAAAATTTTGTCATCTGCAGGTAGAGCAGCAGGTGGTTGTAGACCCAGTGTGGCAGAGACTGCTGTCTGCTGTGACTGTCCTTGGCTCCACCAGGTGTCAGCACTCTACACCAGTACTCCACAGTGACATGAGTGCAGTTGAATTGAAGAAAATTATAGGGCTGCCACCTGATCACTTCTCACCAGCAGACTTTGAGGATTTCTCTTACTCTGGTATTATATTCAACTTTGTCAGAATCCAATTTCATTGACAGCATAAAGAAAACCTAATATAAAGGGACGTCCTTTGTATTGTCATTTGTTAATTGATATTAAATTTTTTTTAGATATACTGGATATAAGGTAAGGCGTTATGGCAAATGTTTTGACCTTTTACGGTCATTTTCTGTTTTATAAGTTTGATGATTGAAATTTCAAATTTCTTACTTATTTTTTCCACTATTCCATATGTATGTATGTATGGCATTATATTTGTTTTCATCATATTACCTTATTTCTTGCAGATTTAAAAAGGCCATCATATGGAGGGCATCTTGTAGTGACAATATTAGGGCTCAATGAAAGAGTAGCTGTGAACACCATAGTCCTTTTACCACCCCATCTTCCACAACATCAAAACTTTACAGACCTCTTGGCAGGCAAATTGGATAAAAGTGAAAATAGTAGAAATGAAAGTGAAACTGCTGAAAATGAAAGTGGCAAAAATGAAAGTGAAAGTAATAGTCTGCCCACAGTAAAGCAGTTGATGGACAGTGCCAGAGCAGTGCAGGGAAGGAGGGTGGTGTGTGTGGTGGACTTGTACTCTCTTGGAGAGGGAGAAGAGGTGGAAGTGATACTGAACAGAGGTTATGTGGCTTCTTGATAAGAAACTGACCTTTATGCCTTTAACTTTATATAACAGCAAAAACAAAAGACCTGGAATTTCCAGCATTTTTTTTCCTAAATCACCAAGGTGCATCTTATCTAAAAGTTCAGAAAATTGCAATCTAATTGTACTGGGTATGCACCTTTAACAGAGTACATTTAGTTTGCTCTGAAAATTTTGCCATATTAAGATGCATGACTGGTGTTTGTATCTGGTGGGCATGTATCGATTGTGTACATTGTAGGATGTTACTGTAAATAAGAAGTGTTACTATTGGGAAGTTCAATAAGACTAAAACAGATTCTATAAATTTGTATTTATTGATTTATACATTTACATATTTAATATATACAGATTTTTAGTGCTATAGCACCACTTTTAGAAATAGTCCTGTTCTCAGGTTTTAATTCATTTACATCTTATTTTTAATGTTAATGTTATACATATTTTAAACACAAAATCTCAGATTTTGTTTCATTATTTTAAATAGCTATACTTCAGTAAAACAGTCAATTGGGAGACTTGATTGTATGAAATGTTCTTCGTTCTGAATTTTTACTTAATAACAAGTAAAATGAAAAATCTATGTCAGATCATTACTTTCTGTTTTGCTAAAAAACAGTTATGACATTGTAACAGTTGTTCTTTTATTTCTGATGTGCTTCAGTGAAGTTTTTTCTTGTTGGTTCCATTTAAACTTCAATTTCTTTCAATTAACATCGAAGCTCACAGCATAATATACACAGTAACTATCATCCATAGGGTCCTACATTCCAAACTCTCATATTGTTAAATGGTCAAGAGAATTTCCAGTCAATTTTGTACATAAATTTGAGAATGTATTTATCTTTTTAAATTGCATTTTCAGCTTTTTTGTTCTTGATAATTTGTCCTTTAGGCTAGAACCTTGTTAGCTGAATGGGAAAGTTCTCTGTAACAAGGCGGTCATCTTGGAACACTATTACAATGTTGACTTCAAATTCTGAAATTAAAGAGAAAGCAGCAGAATTAATTATTTTGAAAAACAACTTTCAACCATTACATTTACTCTTGTATGCTTTTCACTTAAATTCTGGATGAAAATGATTACTTATTTCAGTGCAAGCAACGACTTCAAAAGTAATTTTATTATCAACAATTCATATCCTTACTGACTTTTAAGTTAAGATAGTTTAACACTATGAAATATTATTATTGTTTAGTTGGTTATTGTTATTATTATCAATTCATATCCTTACCAACTTTGAAGTTATTAGTGGCCAGTGTTGGACAGGTAAAGAGGCGAGGGAAGACCATATAAATAGGAATACTAATACCACGACATACATCCCCCTCTGCTATCTGGATGTTCTGAATCTCTGTGGCTGAATAATAATAATAATAGTAATAATAATGATGATGATTAATGAACAATATATCAAAATGTCAAAAACATAGCATCTGGACTGAGTGTTAGTGCATTTCACTTAACAGGGATCATAGTAAACGGCAGAAAGATAGTACATTACATAACACTAAATTTTCTTAGTGTTAACCTCTTTGAAAAGAATTCTCCTTCTAAGTAAAGCAACATAAATCATTCAGGGGCCTTTAAAAAGGAACATAAAAACAATTAAATGCAATGAGTTATAATAAATGATAAAAATGTTTTTGGCTAGGCCAATTCCTTTAGGCTTAGACTACAGAAATTCCATCAAACGGACTGTCGTACCGTCTTTGGCATAGCCCTCTGCACAGCCGCACGTTTCCACTCTGACTAACTGCAGCTCTATAGACTTGAGTGGGGCTTCACTGCTTTCTACTGTTAACTAAAATCAAAGGAAAATGCAAAAGTTGAAAGGGAAAACATAAGCAAAAATTCTATAAATTTTAAAATGTAAGAAAACCTGGATGAGGTTGAAATAATTGTTAATAACTGTTATCCATCCTGAATAACTGCTCTTTGTGAAATTCACATCAAAACTTGTGAAGATATTTTGAGACATCTTGTCCACTAACAAATAAACCACCACCAATGTTAACATAACCTTCATCTGGGCAGAGGGACTGTAATGTAATTTGAGGGTAAAATTATAAAATATATTAACTGCACTATTGGTACAGAAAACCTATGGAAATACATACACATACTGGAATTATGGAGATTGAATTTTAGTAAAGTAACTGTTTTATAAAACGAATAACTCGATTATTAATCCTTTTGATGAAAATTAAAATGAAGAATTTTCTGTTTTGATTATCAATGTTGAAGAAACTTAACCTCTCCAGTGAAGGGCTTGGTTATCAGACAAACTGCTGTATCTAGCTTTCCCTTCACCTTGAATCTTGGCACATTTACTTTCTGAAAGGAAAGGACATCAGAACTTTAAAAATAAAGCTTCATATTCTGAACCAACTGATGTGTCCTTCACTGTGTTGATTGTGTTGATGTAACTTGGAGATAACTTATTTAAAATATAAACGACCAAGTAACAAAGTGTCAAAATCCAAAGAATTTTTTTTTTTTTTTTGATAATGATTACGTAGTGGAATAAATATTCTGAAGAAAAATAATGTGTGTGCGTGCGTGTTAGTTTGTGCCAAACCTCTTTCACATTCTGTAAAGTCTCTGGTGATATCGTAAATTGCACAACTTTGGCTTTGGCTTTTTCTTCTTGTTCCTAAAATGTAAAAATCACTAGAGTCAAAGAAGATACCCGAGTCTATCCAACTATATTCTATACAACTATAACGCATTATATTATACCTGACTTGAATTTTTTCCTCTGGCACAGATAAGAATCTTATGTTAAGAAAAATACCAAACTTGAAACATTTTACAAATTCTGACGGAAGAAATACTGTGCCAGGAAAGTTATCTATTTTCAAACTTTAAGTTAATATTTCTCCCATCCCTGAATCGAGTCTCAAAAAAGCCTTCAAATGGTATTCAGTTTATGCACTATACTCACCTTGTATTCTACAATAAATTCTAACTGTTTTTGCAAGTCTTTATTTAACAGCGACCTCTTCATGTCTACCTTAATGGTATACTGTATAAGAAAGAAAAAATAAACAATGAAAATTCCTATTAAATGTACATGTACCAGTAGCTTATATCTGTATAATAATGATTTATTTTAATTTTTCTATTTGAAGTTTGAGGATCTACTTAAAAATCTGAAAAAAAAAAACTTGAATTAATAACCTTTTATGCCAAACAACTTGAAACTGCTGCAAAGGTTATAAAAATATATTTAATCCTGCCTGCATCAGTCACATAATTAACCTTCTGGTGTACCAACCAAGTTACTAATCATGAGATATCTCTAACAAAAAAAAAAAAATACATTATCTGAATATTTCCAGCCCATAAAATGAATCCCATTTTAAAACAGCTATAAGTTACATAGTTATGTAACTATTTAGAGGATACTCCTAATACCTGAATATTGACAAAGACTCCATGATACGTCTCATACAGTGTCTTATTGCCTTTGGGTTTGAGTGGAACTTCAAACGGGATCTCTGTCTTCCCTGACGGCAGTTTGCCTGGCTTGGCTATGTCAAGATTGTAGTGAAGGAGTTGGATTGGCTGTGGGAATAGAAATTGATAAACTGTTACTAGAAGTAAAATAGTTATGACTTGCTGTAAAATAAAACTCTCTCTGAAAATATTTCTAAATCAGCAATTCTCCACCTGGGCAACAGCTACTGGTAGTTATAATTTTATATCATGTAAGTTACCCTTGACCATTTTCTCTTCTTATTGCTGTTATGTTAAACTGTGATAAATAACACTTTTACTTTTATGTATGGTTTTACTATTATCATAGTCATGAATCTCTAATCTTCCCATTCAGTAAAGAATGCAATATTTTGTTCTTCTAAAGTGATATAATTCAATGCAAAAAGATATCATATTCTGGTACTAGTATGATGGAATCAATCGTTACCTTCAGTGAGTTATAGAAAGCTTCAAAGAGTCCAACACTTTTAGCACTTAGCTGCAGTCCCACATTTCCCTCTACGGTCAGTGTGATGCCCTGGTGCTGGACACTGTCCTTGCTCTGGATGACCACTAACCCAGCCACCACATCCTGGATATCCAATCATAAATTATATATACAGTGTGAACTAAAATAATAGCAGGTGCATTGAAACAGCCTTAGGACAAATATCGACACCAGGAAAGTTCTAGTCTTGCCAAACCAGACAGGCAACAGGCCTGCAGACAGCAATTTCAAAGTTGGAAGTAGGGGGAGGACATTTTTTTTCTGAAAAAGTGGACCCTCCCCCACTCCAACCCTACCCTTCGTTTACCCAGCACGAGAAATGACAGAACTAAGATTAAAGACAGAACCTTAAATTTGGATTCAAAGCGGTACCTTTCTGATCAAAATTGTGCTTGGTCCTTTTGCCACCGCCCTCCCCCCCTTCTGTGCCTTTATTATCAGATGAACAGTACATAATTCTAACCCTCCTCAATAAAAAATGCCCCTTCCACTTCTATTCATACATTAACTTATTTATGAATATTCATTCCCCGATATACCAAACGCCCAGTAAAAATATAATTTAATAAAAATATAACACAATTTAAATGACAGAAAATGAGTCCAAGAGCACGACAAGCGTAAGACTTAGACCAATGAATAACGTTAACGATGTCACGAGTTGTAGTATTTACTGGTCGAACACGTTTTCTATTAAACACAACGTTGCAATAGCGCAAAAGTTGTATTTTGTCGAAACTTACTAAAAACATGGATCGAATTTTTGCAAACAATGTTGCTGCAGTATCATACTCACCCCTTCCCTGTAGATTTTATTTACTTTCTTTAATCGGACATCCAGCAAGGTAGCCATTTTGGCTTGTCTTGGAACGCCTTACTTCCGCATTGGCGGCTTAAAACAACGAAAATGAATGAGATGAAAATCAAATTTTGACAAAACCAGACAGAATTATTATATAATGTTCAAAGTGATCGTTAATTGGTAGTCATTTAATCATTTTGAAAATTTACATATGTATATTTGGGAGTGAAATATATTTTTAATGCTGTAAGCGATATCCCAAACCGCGTTCACAAAAAGTTTGGGTAATGTAATTCAAAGTACATTGTATTTCTAAGCAGGTGTTTATATATGTTTATTAAGTTATAATAATGATATGGAGAAAATCTCGTCCTTGAATTGATTCATTATTGCGATACAATAAATTAACAGACATCACTCCTACAGGGGGAGGTAAATTCAACAGCCATTCACCCCGTCCCGTTGCCACCAGCGGTTGCTATGGGTGCTTGTACACACCACAACGTGCTACTACAATAATACTATTGGATCTTTGCTACTTGACAGATCGGAGTGGCGAAACATTGACAGTGGATATTTAGGTGACTTTTCACTCCGACCAACAACTCAGGACCCATAATTTTGTGCCAAAAGAAGAAGACGGGCACTAGGATCTATATTTATTCGCAACAGAGCTTCCAGGTGAAGCAGAACTGTGTAATTCGGAAGCTAGTTAAAATTCAGCTGATCGCTTCACCGCCAAGGTTCCCACCATGGCTTTGACTCACGATGACCTCGAGCAGATTATGAAGCAGGAGTTTCCTGACTTTACGTGTATATGTGAAATATGTGATTGTGGGTAAGTGAGCATATACAGTATGTCTGATATATAGCAGCATATTTTTTTATTATACTTAAGTACACTAGCTGTGTGTAGGCCTTCATACCGGGTACGAGTACTCAGAGGGTAGGGAATGAAAACCCCCCCCCCCCCCCC